GTGCGTGTGTGTTGAGGGAAGTGGAGAGCAGAAGGGGTGCGTAAGAGGCAGAAAAAGTGAGGTGAGAGCTCTGGCGAAGCAAAGCGAAACGCCAACGCAGCAGAGTTAAAAGAAAGAGAGCCAACCAAAGATGCGCGCACAAACACACACACACACACACGCACACACACATCACGGGGGAAAAAAAACGTGGGATGGCGAGAGGTCGGCAAGAGGTGTCCATAAACAAAACTTGTCCCAGAGGTGTGTTTCTAATATCTACAGTATATTTTCCTTCTATGGGTGCGACCCCGGCGACGGCAACCGATAGCGCCCTGACACGCGTCCATCCATTACTACACACACACACCGCTTGCAATGCCCGCTGCTACCAACGACACAACTGACGGAACTCGGCCTGCAGACGGCGCTCCTCGACAACTCCCGCCGCTGAGGCATGTCGTGCAGTTCTTTTCTGAATCCTCTCAATTCTTCGCTGCAACTCTGTTTCCCCCTGCTCGCGGAACCGCGCACACCGTTCCTGGATTTTTTGCTCCTCTGCACGTGCCGCGTCGTGCCTCGTCAGTCGACGCTCAATGGCCCTCAGGTTGTCCTCACTGAACACCTGAAATTGGGAGCGGAGTAGCGCAGGCAGTTGGGGGGCAAGCGAGGCCTGCGTAAAGGCCGCTTCGCCCTGCGAGCGTTTGTGGGAGCCGACACTCATTGAACTTCGTGGTTATCCCTCGTTTGTTTGTCGTCGTCACCGTTACGCGGGCGCGGAGCCGACGCAACAAAGCAAAGAAAAATAACAGCACCAACAAGATGGCAGAAGGAGATGCAGACAACAAGAGAGGAGAGATGTCGCACGATATGCTGACAAGCACAACCAGACGAATTGGTGCCTGCGCTTTAAAGCGGGAGGGAGAGCGAGAAGAGGAGGCGGGGAAGTAGACGGCGCCGCTGCTTGGGGTTTTGCAAGCAGTGCGAAGGGCCAAAACCTCAAGGCAGAGGAATGGGAAATAAAAAGACGATTGTGGGGTGCAGTAGGACGCAAAAAACCGTCGGCAGCGAACCAGTCCCCACATTTTTCTATACAAACTTCGCTCCATCATGACCCGAATATGCCGTACTGGTGAAGCACCATCACCCTCACCTCCACCTCGCCTGTTGGCTCTGTGACGAGCCCGTGCTTCACAGACATGCCCGCGTTGCCGCGTGTGGCAGCATCCCATGGGTCAACAAGTGCGGGCGCACCGCCCACCAACGCGGTGCAAAGAAACTCGCGTCCTGTTTGCCACGGTCTCCAAAACGGGGCCCTCAATGTGTGACAGCCAGGCTGCGTATGCGGCACCGTCAGTACTGTGTAGCCGACAGGGGCCTGCTGGGCGTACACCGACTCACTGTACACCGTCACGAGGAGCTGCAGCGGGGCCATGTCCTCCACATTCAGGTGGTACTCAAAAGGGGTGTTAAAAGTATGCACTGGAAGTGGAATAAAGTCCTCAACAAGGATGGTGCCAGCCAAGGTCAGCTGCGTGGTAAAACCGTCACCCACTTTCCCCACTTCGCACGTCTCCTCCTCCTGTGTGCCTTGACGCCACTGACAATGAAGGTAAATTGCCTCCTCTGACACACCGACGCACCTGTCGATGGTCCCATATATGTAATGATGCACCCTCGCCCTCGACGCGTGTCGCGTAAACGAGTCCCAAACACCCGCCTGCGGGAGGTGTTTAACATCGAAATCCACCTCCGCTGCACCCATGGTGGAAGCCTGCTGAAGCAGCAGCTGCTGCAGTGCCTCCCGTCGAGCAGAGTGAGGGATGTCCAGAGTGTTCTCTACACGTGACGCAAGATTACCAACGCGTTGGATAATGCCGTCGGGCTCTGACGGCGCCAGCGCGGTTTCCTCCGTCGCCATCGCAGAAACCTTGAGGGAGTACACATGCAGCGAGTCAACAAACAGCGTATGCGTCTCGTTAATGGACGGCTTTGCTGTAAAGTAAAACTCATTCGTGTCTGCCGTGATGATGCACACGACGCGTTCCTCGCCTTCCCACCGCATCTCTGACAGAGACGCCCCATCCGGTGGGGTAATACCTCCAATAGCCCACATAAAATACATCTTGTTGCTTGTCTGGTGTTGTGTGTGGTACTGGCGAAGGATTACTGCCGCCAGAGGACTTGGCTCCTGCGGTGGATCCACGGGGCAGTCTTCTTCCGCCTCGCATATGTAATCCTCACTGGAGGTGTGCGTAAATAAGGCGTCGGCGCTCTTCTCGAGGTGACGCCTCAACTCCGTCGCAGCGCGCACCGCATCGGGAATGGCCCTCCCGCTTCCCTGCAGCCGCAGCGTTTCCATGTCCACTTCAGTGGCACCGGCCCCCAGCGAGGTCCGCGCAACGTCCCCCGCCGTGGCTTCGGCGTCCACGGCACGGATCATTTCGAGGTTCTCCGCGGGTGAAAAAAGTTTGCCGTCCCATGGAACCGTCACGCTGCACAGCACCTCCGTGTGGTTTTCCTCCACAAGCAGCGCCCGCCAGAGTGTCACACGGAAGGACAGCTTGCGCAGCGGCACCCGACTCGCGTACTGCTGCGCCGACTTGAAGCGGAAGAGGTCCATGCGACTGCACACCCGTTCGAACAAACACCCACCCCCGTCAAAGAACAAATGCGGTGCAACGCACACGCATGCCAGCAAGAAGCAAAAAAAAAAAAAGGCAGGAAAGTGAAATCCGCAAAAGCAAACACGAACGACAGGCAGTGCCTCCACCGCCACAGACGCATCTCCCTCTCTCTTTCCTCGCGGAGCCCCCCGAAGCTAAAATACCCACGCCACCATTAAGCGGTGGTGGATGTGTTTACGTCGCCCCTTCCTCCACGTAGCGGTAGAGATGCAAGTCCTGCAGCTACGTCAGCTTCCGCTTGGCGAGAAATGGCACCTCCCAGCGGTTTGACACGAGAAGCTCAACGCGCAAGAAAATCTCCAACAGAGTTGCACGGATGGTGTCTAACCCTTCTGGCAGCACGTACAAAAACAACACGTGGCCTCTCCAGCCTCAGAGCAAGGAAAGTACCGCTCCACCTCCAGGTGACGCACATCGGCAGTCTCAAAGGTGCAGTGGAGACGGTGTGGCGGCGGCGCAGCCATCGCAGCTGCGCGGCGCCTCGCCGTAAGAACAAGCCCCCCGTCAAGGTCCAACCCAACGAGCGTCAATTGCAGGGGGGGGGGCACGTCCGCGTAGTCACTGGTACCTCGCGACGTGCGCAGCAATGCGGCACTCAGCAACAGCAGTGCGGCTCCGTCACCGCAGCCGAGGTCTGTAAGCCCAAGCGACCCGCCGCGGCGTAGTTGGAACAGCAGCGAGTCCTTCACCCACGCCGCAAGCACCTCCAACGCGTCTGTACTGCTAGCAACAAATGGAGAGATGAACTTCCCGTCAGCCCACTGGAACGGTAACTCCATTGTGCGGCCGCACCTGTGCGGCTCCCGTCAAAACCTCAGCCCCTCCCCACGCTGCACTCCGGCCCGCATAAACTCCATCCGGTGCCACAGGAAACAAAAACAAAAAATCCAGACAACGACACCTAAGAAACGAAGTGTGAAGGCAAAAAAAAAAGGGGGCTCGCCCTGGAGAAGCAGAGAAGCACACACACACACTAGTTGGATCATGTCCAAGCGCACGCAGAGACGTATACCAGCATCCATTCATCCATCCATCCATCGCCATCACCAAAGTGATAACGAAAAAAAACGTTATACATGCCCATGCTCACTCGGTCCTGAAAAGGCAGACAAAAAGCGTGAGAGAGAGAGAGAGAAGCGCACAAAGATACTGAAACGTACATTCATAAACAAAAAAAAAAAAAAGCTGTATTAGTACTTTACAGCGCAACTAATCAGAGCGCCGTGTACTAGACGAAAAGGAAGCAAAAAACAAAAAAAAAAACATAATCCAAAAAAAAAAAAAGAATTCACGCATGCCAAGCTTTCTCATACACAACAACAACAACTAAAGCCAACGTTGTCTCTACTCACACCAGGGGCATCCCCCTCCCTCGCGCTCTCTCTCTCTCTATTTATCTATCATTCCTCACTCACCTCGCCCTTACCGCAGAGCTCGCCTACGATGCCCAAATGATTACGAACCCTCGATGAAGTTTCGTCGCAGACAAAAAAAAAACGCATGGGTTTGTAGCCACAAAATGCTGGGGCTGACTCACCAACCCACGGCGCCACGGATCACACGCAATAAACCTCCAAGCGTGTGACCAACACCAAAAACAACCAAAGCGAAAAGGAACAAAAAAACACACACGCCTACATCACGTTATCCATCATGTCCAGCATAAAACACAACCGGAAGAAAATGCAGATATCAGCCAGCAAAGAAAAGAAAATGAGACAAAACGCATGCAGTTACTTGTGTTATTGATTTATGTGCACGTTGGTTACTTCAATGATGCGGAGTCGCACAACGTCGTTAGCTCTGGTCGCTGCTCCAGCCACGCTGAAAAGGTGCTGCGCATTACCCTCTTCAAAGAGTTGTATTCCTCCTGTAGGTAGGCGGCAAAGGTGATGAGGTTGAAGTACCGACGCAGGTAGTGTACCCCATAATGGTGCGCCCGCCCACGCTGCTCCTCAGTGACGTCTGGCGACTTCACCTGGAGTGCAAAGCTCTCAATCGCGGTGCGAAGGTTTTGCATCTTGCCGCATGCCTCCAACACCAAATCCACCTGCAGCTTTGCCTGGCGTCCCCCTGTGAGTACACGCTTTAGCTGCACAATGCACCCGTAGTCCCCGCGCGATAGCTGGGATTCCTCTGGCTTGTACAGAGGATCAAATTTGTTGTTTAGTTCATCATAATACTCTGGTATCACAAGGCCAATCAACATGCAGCAGATCACCATGCCAGTTGTGGTGCGTCCGCGACCCATTTGACAATTAAATACAAACGACAGCGTCTCGCGACGATCCATGTGGGCAGCAATCCTAGGAAGCAAGGCTGGAACAAGTCCATCAAAGTCATCTGCGCCAGGGCTCTGCTCATCTGTCACAGGGAGTCGTAGCATCGTGACACGAATGCCCTGTTCTGCCAACTCATTATATATCTCTCGCACTGTCTTGACCGTTTCCCGAGTTGCCGGCTCCCACATGCCAACCAGTTCACCGGGTTCACCTTCGTCGCTCACAAGAAACATGCCGCCCTGCTGGGACGCCTCCTTCAGCACATCGTTCATCAGTTGAATTTCCACCTCCTCCACCTTATGAGCTGCAATGCCGGTCAGCTCCACATTGACGTACGGGGCATCCATGTTGCGAAGCACAAACGGCCGATCGCCCACGTACAAAATTGGCTCCTCACGAAGATTCACCCAAACAACGCTGCCACGCAATGGTTTAGCGAGCTCCTCCTGACTAAAATTCGGTGAAAAAAGCCGCGGTGCTGCAAAGCCAATGTGCAACTCCTTGTCATTACTCTCGCCTGGGTATACTTGAAGCGGCTTCGCTGAGGCTCCAAGCAGGGAGAGGACGTTGTGTATACCACGCAAGGTTGGAATTGCCACGCCGTAGACGTTGACCAAATCCACCTTTCGAAAGTTTGGTGCGCCACACAACTCTGGCCGCAGACCTTTTTTCTGGCACCCTGGGAAGTGATCCGCCTTCAATACAAAGTTCGCCGTCAACACATCTCCGTTGCGATTGGGGAATCCTTCTTTGATGGATGGACGGACCTCCATATACTTGATGGCCTGCTCAGCGCGCTGGTCAAGATTTGCAATGATATTTGCCACCTCCGTACGATTATTCACCCAGTCGCTAAAAGGCTCTTCCATGCTGTAGTCACCCATGGAGTCGATGTAGATGGCGCTGAGTAGAACTAGCAAATAGCTGCGCACCAAGCAAACCGCGCTACGCATGCTCCTCACCTTGTTGATGGTATCCAACATCTCCAGCTTTAGCTGGTTTAGCATGTGAAGAAGGTTCCACCGCTTTCCCTGCCCCCCAAGGGTGAGGGCCGCATCCACGACACGGAGCAGGGAGCCTGCGGTAAGCATTTGGCATATGGTGGACGCCACCTGCAGTTCAATTGGCGCCGCTGGCACCTCGCCCGGGTCCACTGCGGCCGAGCCTAAAATTTGGGCGGAGGGCAACACTACTCCGCTGTGGCCCATGCGCAGGACCTCCTTGAACTCCTCCGGAGTGGTAAGCATGCGCAGGTTGCGCACTCTCGAGGCTCGGTAAAGGGTGAGGAAATTAAGAGCAACGGTGGTACGCGTAGAACCCTCGTTATCATTGATGATAAACACGTCATGCTCGCTGCAACTCTTACTCAAATACGCCAAAAAAGGATCCACGTCAGAGGCCAACATGTGGCCGGCGTATGGAATGGGAATGTGATGGTATGTGATGCCGAACTCCTCCGCAAAACTTGCCATGATAAACTTGGGGGTGGATACAGAACGCACCTTGACGCGTAACGTGGAGCGTGTGTTATTTTCATCAATGTGGTGCAGCAGTATCACGCCCTTCTGCTCCTGCGCCTCTAAAATAACATCGCGGCGTAGACGCTCCTCAATTTGTTCCATGGTCTTCAAAGATACATGCATTGTTGACGCCAGATTCGCCGAGTTGCTGGAAATCGTGTCGTAGTCAGACAAGGTGTAGCTTATGCCGTTAATAAACACCATTGGCTCCGCGCAGAGACTCAACCATAGAATATTTTTCTGATTAGGAAAATGTTGAGCCAATTCCGTCATTAGCAGCATACGGCCCGTCTCTGACAACCGCCCGCAGGTAAAGATAGGGACATCCGGCGCTAACTGCCGCAGCGCGTTTACTTGATTCATGCTGTCCGAGGTCATTGGAAGGCTACATAAAATCCGTCCGGAACTCAGTACGTTGCCGCGGCGGTGGCGTACAATGCTGGCGGCCCACGACGCCTCTCCCTCCGCGATAGGGGCAACAATGCGCTCCGCCTTGAACTCCTCCTCCATCGACCGGATGCCAGCGATGAGAAGCCGCAACTCGTTATTCTCCGTAATCCACTCACTAAAAGATACTCGGACGTTAAAGTTCCAAAGCCGCTGCTCGCAGTAGTACGAAAAGACAAGAAAGTAGGCGTATTGCTGGAGGTGCATCATGGCTTCCTCTGCCGGCGCCGTGCCAGTGTAAAATGCAGCGTAAATATGATCCACGATGGAGTAAATCTTATCTGAGAGCTCTAGCAGAACCATAAGCCGTCGTTCGTGGAGTTTGCCGTCTGGGATCAGTGAGACAATCTTTTTAATGGTACGGAAACGAAAGCATCGCGCCTCACTCCGCAGAAGGTAAACATCCAGCAAGGCGTCCTGACCACACATTTGGTAAAAGCGAACAATGGCAGCTATCACCATTAACGAGCCCGACTTCCCTCGCCCTGTTTGGCAGTTGAACACAACCACCGCTCGTGGGTACTCCATACATGTGTTGAACACAAAATCAAAGTCTGGTGGTTGCGGCCCAACATTCCGTGTAATGGGGCGACGAAAATAGACAACATGTTGCCGAAGCAAGTGAAATACCTCGTGCAACGTTAGAACATTATCCGCGTCTGCACTTTCCCATTGATCCTCCATAAGGCCATCCTTACCCTCCATGTGTACACTCACGTTTCCACCGTTTTCACGAGCCTCCTTTAATACCTCCTGCTTCAACTTCACCTCAATCTGCGCGATGCTGCGGCTGGTGACGTTTGGAATGATCATCGGTGTAAGGGGATCCTTGCGTTCGCGAACGATGTGTGCCTGGTTGTTAATATAAATAAGAGGCTCCTCACGAAGATTTACCCACACAACCGTGGCATCGCAGACTCGATGAAGCTCGTTCACAATTGTTTTTACGGCACTAATATTCGGTTGGGCAACACCCGCCACATTTAACTTTGGTACTATGCGAAAGTACGGGGCCCCAGCAATGATGCCTGTGGGTCCATTATGACTCCGCAGTGCATCCTGCAAATCGACAACAAGAATGTTGTTTGCGGAGAGAACGTCACCTCTACGCACCATCCCAACCTCACTGGGGGAAAGAAGGACAATGTCTCGTTTATTGGAGAATGCCTCTACAAAAGCAAGTGTACCTTCTGTGAGGCGGAGAACGCTGCTTGAACGCATAGCCATCAGTTCCATGGTCGTGCTATTCATTGAAGCCTCAGGGTCCAAAGGGGTGGAACGGGAAGAGTCTCGCCAAGGATCAACAACAGTGGATGTGTCTAATTGTGTAGACACATGAGCTTCAGGTGCGCCTTGCCCATCCCGATTCGGCTTCACATTCGCGAAATTGTACACCAACGTAGCCAGCTCAATGATGTCACTCTCATTATTGGCCTCCATCACAAGCGGTGGCGGTGGGGAGACGAAGGCCGTCCTCTGACGGTGGGACTCGTTCCAGGAACGCGCCATCTCGCTTTGTAGACGCTTCATGCGAGACTGGCGCCGGTCGAGATCTTCCTCCAGCTTCCGAATTTCCATATCCTCTTCACTCTCCGGTGCCCACTTCGCTTGCGGGGGTTCCGCCTCACCCTCCCGTTCCTGGCTATGAGATCGTGGCAAGGAAGGGAGAAACGGTTTCGGATTATAGCAGGTGCCATCGACCATTATCGGCAATTTACTGGGCGAAGGCTGCGTCGCTTGTGCCTCGTTTCCCAAATTAGACACGGTGTGGCCAGAGTTGGTTGCCCCGGTGGTCTCCAAAAACTGCGTCGTGAGCTCAGCGCGCTCATTCAGGTGGTTCTGCTGTTTCTGCAAGAGATTTCTAAGCGACAGCAGCTCCTCCATCGGGCTGTTGGGTCTCTTGACTGCCGGCGGAGGTGCAGGGACGTTGCATATGGGCGGCAAAAAAACGTCCATCGGCATCCCTTTTTTATTCTTCAGCCGCCTTTCTCTCTCGTCCTCTGCGTTTTCACTGACGGAGGGAGTCATCATGCGTCTTTCGGTATCTCTACCCTACGCGGGTCTCTCCGTCCCTTTTAGTTGCGCACGAGTCTTCGGTCGTGCCTGCCTCGCCCTCCTTCTTCCTCGGTTTCTTTCACTCTGTAAAGAAGAGAAAGAAAAAAAAGAAAAAAGTAGGGGGTGGAGAGCGACAAAAAGATACGGCAGAAGCGCATCAAACAAACAAACACGCGACCACAATAGAAAATAGCAGCAACGACAATACCACTGTCACTACTTCTACGACTCCTGGTTTGCATGCTTAAACACCCATCAACAGTTGTAAACATCTCTCCCCGCCATGTAAAGACCATAGTTTAAAACATTTATGATAAACGTATCCGTGTATATCTGCATATACGCGTATATATATATATATATATATATATATATATATATATATTGCTTCATACGGGAGATTAATATGTATGTATCGTTTCACATAGCTTTTCAAACGGTCTCTTCAGAAGCCAACCATCTGGGCTTCAGTGGAAGAATCATGCGCCACCAGCGCCTATCGGTGCCCAACACCGCATCCCAGTGAGCCCGGCGCCTTCGCTCCAACTGCTGCCTAGTCGGCTGGCGCGATCTCTCCCGATTGAATGAGGCGACGTGTCGCGACATTGTTGACTCACCGTGATAGACCCACCACACATGCAGTAGGCCAAAGCAGAAAGGTGGCGCAGCCACCATGACCATAATAATGGGAAGCATAAGCCATAAGATGTTATAATCGCCAACTTCCAGAACAAAAATAGCAATCAGCAGCAAGCCCCCATTCAGGAAACCAACGATTCCCGCGTAGACTAGAAACGTCACAAACAGTTTATAGTTGTTACGTCCGATGCAATTATTCATAACGGGGCAGTGATGATCAAACTCATACGTGCAACGTGAGCAGAAGGCGCAGTGGTACGCATTGTCCGGCTTAAACTGATCGCACGGCACGCAGTAACGCAACCTGTTCATGTAATTCAATTGTGTGACGCTGTTAGGGTTGAACCCCTCGATAGGGGCTAAAACAGACGGCTGAAAGTCACTTCGATCCCCAACGTATCTGGGGGGATACTTCCATGGGATCGGAGGCACGTATCCCGCGCCCGTCAAGGTAACCCCCAGAAATGCCCACAGAAGCACCGCGCTGGCGGCATTGCCAAAAACCATAGCGACCACAGCGGCACCGATGCGCCAGTTCACGTTAAGCTCCAGAGACAAAGTTATGAAGTACGCGTTAAAGCCCACCATAAGCAATAAAATAAGTAGCAATATGATACACGGAAGCAGGTACGCAGCACACATACAAAAAACGTCACCGCAACCCTTTGGAGTGTGACTGTGTAAGTTCAGCATTGTCAGCGTGCTACCAATGATCGGAAATATGGCTTCTCTCCTGTTGGCTCGGGGGTCCTGCTCTGCCATGGCCTGCTGAAAAGAATGAAAGCCGAAACTGCCACAAACGCAACAGTGTACCTACAGCTCCTGCTAAGAAGGGAAGATGTCGGTACAAGAAAGATAAGAAAAACAAAAAAGGGGAGGGGAGAGGTGAGGTAAGGTGAGGAAGTAACAAGAGAAAATGCGTCTCTGCAGGAAAAAAAAAAAAAAATGTCCCTCGTGACCATCAGCGGTAGCGCGGCAACAAGGGCAAACCTGCAGAGAAGAAAATAGGAACAACAGCAACAAAGAAACATGAAGCTGACAAAATATATATAACTGGGCGTATTTGTACCACCGCCTCCCCTCTCACAAGGCAAGCATGAGGAGTTTCTTGTAGTTGTTGCTTTTCCCTTATGCAATACATCGTTTCGTCTCCTTCCTGGTAATTGCGGAAACGCCTCCAAGGCAGGAAGAAATGGGGATGCAGGAGGAAATTTACAGCAACCCTTGCAGCGAAGCCTTGTGTGAGGGGCGCGCAGCACGAAAAGGGCAAATCAAACGCCACCAACGGTGGTCCTCGCCAAAGATGTCCTTCAGGTATCGTTCCCGCTCCTCTTTCAGGTATCGCTCGTCGCCCGCCCTGCGGTACACCATATTTCCAATGGTAGTTTCGCCGTGAAGCATCATCCAAAGGAAATGTGCCGCAAACATAAGAAAGGAGATACCCATTACCAGCGAGAAAACCGCTGAAAAAATGAGGGCGCTCGTTGAAAGCAACTCGGAGGACTGATAGACATCGAAGTGGTACGCGCAGCTGTACGCCGTCGTGGCGCCAATATGCAACCCACCCAGTGGGATGTAGGCGAGGAAGAGCATAAAAAACTTTGCATTGTCTCGGCCAACGCAGTTGTTTATCCAAGGGCAGTGGTGATCCATGTGGTAGACGCAGCGACGGCAAGTACGACAATGGTGCGCAGTGTCTGGCTTGTATATCTCACACTTGCTGCAGTAGCGCAATTTGCCATCAATCCCAACCCGGTGCACCTCATTCATGTTGTCGCTGTTGACGCGGCCCTTAAACACGGGCATGTTGGCCCAAGGCACCCGCTCCACGTATCCCGGTGATGTGCTTATGGCTAAAAAAAAATTGACAAACACCAACACCTCCGCAACCAACATGACAACATGGCAGTAAGCACAGTAGATCCAGGAAATTTCGCCCTTCATGTACGTCTTGTGAAGGCGTGGAAGAAACAGCACATAGTACGGAATGACATTGGCCAAAATTAGCCCTACCGCAAGGACAGGAGGGAGACACCGGCAAAAAAAGACACACCAGCCGCACAAACCTGAAGGTCGGTGCGCAGTGTACATCCGGCCAGAACCTATGAGCCGATTTCTTCTCAACAGAGACACACCTACAAAGAAAAGTTGAAAAAAAAAAAAAGAGAGATGCATAGGCGCACACAACGGCGTCAGCACACATTTGCATGGGTTGTCTGTGTTTGCGTGTGCGTTTAGTGCCCATTTCGGCGGCATCCGTCGGAAAGTGGCGGAAGAGCATCGGTGCGTGCTGCCCGTTACCTCGCCTCACCTGCAAAGGGGAGGTTTCCGTCGAAACAAAAACGCAAAGCCCCTCCCTTTTCAGGAAAAACAAAGCAAAACAGAAAAAAAAAAAATGCGGCATTCCCCCGCTCCTCCCCCTTCGGCCCAAACCTACCAAGCAAACTAAATACACACATACAAAAACTCTGCAAGGGGGGGATGTTACAACGCGTCCATAAAATCCACGAGGCACCGCGGCGAGCTGCAGAAAAAAAAGAAAAGCAGTTGCAATAACAAACTGTGCACGCACAAACGGTCTCAGCCCCAAAAGAAACTTATCAACGCTGAAAACAACAATCAAACACATACAAACACACAACAAACAAAACAACAGCAAAACACACACATCTGACACAACGCTGCCGGTCAGAAAAAAAAAAAAAAAATTATGGAAACAACAGGGGCGAAGGTCAACAAAAACAAAAAGCAAAAGAAGGAACAAAAAAAAATAAAAGATACATAAACTAATAGCAGAGGGTGTGGCTGCCCAGTTCCACTGCTTCCGTGTGTAGTTAAGCAAAACAAAAATAACATTAAAAAAAAAAAGTGACGGAGTGAGTGGGAAATTCACCAGCACTCCTCATTTACCGTACAAGTCAGCCAAACTGCGCAAGCCTCCCGGAATTCAGCAGTTGCTGCGGCAACACATTCCCAGTGTCCCCCACATGTTGAACTTTCGGCAATAAATCCTGTGGAACAGGGAATGTTTGTGTTGAAACAAGAGACGTTGGGCGTGATTGCATCATGGAAGAAGCCAACAGAACATGTTGAGGAGAAAGCACGACGTTCATCATCGCTTGCTGTGGTGGTGGCATCATAGAATTAAGCATTATGGCCCGCTTTGTTTCATACGGTGGCGCCACAGATGTTGCCAGCAACTGCTGGGTAGGCGCAGCCGCAGTCTGCATGAACTGGTGCTGCACATTTGGAGCAAACTGCGTGACTGGCACGGCTGGGGGGCTGGCGAGGCCCTCAGACCGCGTCGCCAGAGATGATCCAGCGGCCGCCCGCTGTGCCATCATCATGGCGTCCGCCTGCCGGTGCGCCTCCCTCGCCACGCGCCGCCTGTCACTGGGTAAAATCCGCCACAGCCGCAATCCGTAGATGATAACGAGAACTAAGGCAATACTGCAGTAGACCCGTGAAGGTGGCACGAATAAAATGAGCAACGAGGAAGCCACCACAATGGCTGCTAGAATGACAAGTTCCAGCATCCGCCAGCGGGAGAACACAAAGCGTAAGGGGATTCTACCCGCAACAGATCGCATCGTAGATGGGCTTATATTTGCGCAGAATGCCTACAAAATAATTATAGCAATGCTGAAGTAGCAATGCCGTGTGGATACTTGCAGAAAGAGAGAGAGAGAGATGGATAGAGGGATGACAAGAAATAAAAACATGCAATTCGCGCCCAAAGAAGAGACACTTGGGCAAAAAGAAGCAACCAAGGGATCCGACAGAGACCCTCATATATATATATATATATATATATATATCAACGCAAACACGCAGCGGCGCACATGCATGCATATATTATATACTCGCAAAGAGGGGGGAAGCGAAAAGGCTCAAATGATGATGCCCGAGTGGGCCACCGTCACGCCAATCAGAAATACACCCCACCACCATCACCACACATACACAGACACAAGGCGAGGTGAAAGGCCGTGGCGCCAGTCAGAAAAGACTTAAAAGCATCCAACCACAAATCAACTACATACCATCGTGCCACTATACCAAAATAAAATAAAAAAATATTCATAATAATATCCTTCGTCCCTTTTTGTTTGTTTGTTTCTTTGACACTGTATCCTTGTCTTTTCGCTCATACGCTTTGCGCCCCCCACCCATCTAAACAAGCCCATTAACAGAAGCCACCTCATACATTCTCCCTTCCTACGTTTAAGTCCCTTCCCCCTCAAACTACTGATACTGATACGTGCAGAAACCAGTTCCATACCTGCAGGTGGAGAATGCGAGTCCCCTATCCACCCGCTGTCTTCCCCACTTTCTACTCGGGCTACTAAACAAAAGAGTAGGCCTGAAAATGATAACGCAAGAATAGCCCCATCACTCTCACTCCCTCTCGCTCGTTCTCTCCCCTGTGCCTTCTCACCCTCTTTCCTTAGTTGCATGCAACAACGCCAACCCATCAAAGCGCACTACGCCAGTCCTGACGCCACTACCCGAGACGATCGCAGTAATTTAGCGTGATGAAAGGCAGATCGAAGATAGAACGTGGTTCGTTGTGGCAACACAAAGGGGGAGAAAGCCGGCCTGCTACGGACGGTGCTTTCCAAATGAAAACCCGCGGAGACTTGTCCCTTCCAACCGCATCAAACGGCAGACATTTTCTCGCCCCTCCAGCGGCTCTTCATACCGATGTCTTGGCTAGTATTTGTGCTCATTGTTGCTCCCCTGTATCGCTAAAAACGCTCCCAATCGCTTTCTTTTTTTTTCTCCCTGCTTTGTTCTCCCATCTCACATTGGTTTTACGCTTCTCTCTTTGTTCACTCTACCCCCCCCCCCCACCTACACGCACACACACTTGAAGCGAGGGTGTCCTCTCCTCCAGTGCGCGGCTATTTTGTGCGTTCGCCGTGCCTCTGCAGCGTGGCCTCAATGAGGGCCTTCACCTTCGCCTGGTCAAGCTGCACGCCCTTCGCCTCCAGCAGTCCGAGGGTGCTCACAACGTGCGTCACGTTGCCTGCCTCGCGAAGTGCGTCCAAAAGGCGAAGCAGCGCCACCACCTCCGTCTCCGTACCGCCGCGCTGCAGCGGCACCGCATCCGTAGACATTGCATGAGGGTCAACGCCGTAAATGACTTTGCGAAGCGTATCGTAGCGCCCCATGATGCTTTCGACGCGACTGCGATCAAGATTGGTGTTGCGCACAAATGGGCGGATGTACGCATACTGCCGAAAGAAGTGACGAAGGTCAACGACAAGGTCCTTAATGATGGGAAAGTTTGGCAACGGCCCCACCGTAGTCACTTGCTGTGAGAAGGTAATGCAGGCGAGGCTGTTAATACCGTTAATATTCATGGCGCAGCTGCCGCATACGCCTTCGCAGCAGGAGGCCCGGAACGCTAGCGTGGGATCCTGGTGCGCCTTTACCGCCGTGATGAGGTCAAGAACCATGTAGTCGTGATGCTTGTCGTACTCGTAACTCTCTATGCGCTGCTTGTTTGTTTCTGGGTCAAAGCGAATCAGCCGCAAAATCGCCTTCTTTGAGGCGGTGTCGGGTGCCGTGGCGGTGGTGCGGCGCACGGACACTTTGTACGGTGTGGCAATTTTGCGCAGCATTTGGTAACAATTGTACAGTCCGGGCTCCTTTCTTCTTCTTTGGGTTGTTGGTGTTGGTGTTGGTGTTTCTATTGTCAAAGCGGATGTCCCTTTTTGTGGGAGTACGCAGTCTGGCGTGGGCTCCCCCTCGCACCGCAGGAAGAAGCAGACAAAGAGCATACATACATACACACAGAGAGAGAAAAAAAAAATAAAGAAAGAATATCTCCACACCCATCCGCAGCAGCAGAGGGAAAGATAAATGTGCGAGGTCACTCCTAGGCGTAGGTGTCCGCCCGACGTTGCAGGCGAAGTTTGCCGCTCAATCCTCCGGCACAAACAGCGACCAGTCTCGCACCTCAAAAGACGACACTGCACGATGCAGCACCGCCAGCACCTCCTCCCTGCCGCGGAGGTGGCGTACCACGCAAGCCTCGCTGCTCTCCGGATGAATCCACTGAGGTGCAGAAACGGAGAGCAGCACATCCGACGAGATGGACGGCAAAAAGCGCAGGACTGCAAGGGCGACAAATACCTCATTGTCTTTGCCCCGCTCATTTTTGAACTTCGAGATGCGCTGCAGCCCAGACGTGACGCAGCCATATGCGCACCGTCGCCCGCTCGCTGCGGCCGCCCCACACGGCAACTGCGCCACGTGGGGGTAATCAGCAGGTGCAAGTGGCTGCTGCGCGTCGAGCGTGAAGTCCCCATCACGGCAGTCGTTTGCACGTGCGAGGTCGCTGAAAAAAAACGCCCCACAGTCCTCGTCCAGCACGTCTGCCTGGCGGGCGAGAAGCTCAATGATGATGCAGACGCCCGTCTCCGCCTCCGTATACACCTCCTGTGTGTCGGGCACCTGCCTAAAGTCGCTCACGTCCACTGCAGTGGCGGGAAGCCGGCAGCGGATGGCGCCGCCAAACAGTTCCACCTCTCTCTCCCCGGACATCTTCCGTGTTGCAGCTGCCGGCGTGCGGCGCACAAGGCACAGGAGGCACAAAAACAAAAGAAAACAGAAAAGGGGAAAAGAAAAAAGTAAAGCAGGAGCCTGACGCAAGCGACAATAAAAATAATAACACAAATAAAAAAGCCCGCGGGGTACGACCAAAAACAAACAAACAAAAGCAGCAACGTTAGAGGAGAATCACACACCGACGCCCACGGCAGTTCACAAAAGCTCAAAGCCCCCACCCATGCAAACGTCCCTGTGAAATGCGAGTGTCGTATTACTTCATAAAAATGCGCCGACGTGACACCTTCAGCAGGCGTGAAATGTCCACGAGATGCCGAAGCAGCACCATCGACGCGTAGGAGATAAACAGAAGGATCGCCACAAGTTGGATGTCAAGCAGTGTAATTGCATCGCCAGCGATGGGACGCACCCTCTGCAGCATGTAGGAGAGAAGTGAGGGAACTACGTTGAGTTGCGCCGTTTCGTGTATGTACTCCACGAGTTTCTGTGCAGACACGGTAAATCCAAGCGTCAAAAGAGCTGCAAGCGGGAGAATCGCAACAGCGACGCTCGCGTGGACGTGCCAACGCCGACTCCACGACGCCACGACCATCACCAGCGCTGAGAAGGCACCGAAGAGAAAGAGCATCACGCCCACCGCCGCCCATGCCGCCATGCCCTGCCAATACTGACGTCCTCTGGCCTTTATCACTACTGTTGCCGCTCTTCTCTCAGATTCCCCCACCCCCACGCTTCTTCACGCCCCTGTGCCACTACCAACTGCCAAAACGCACAGGGCAGAGAGGCAGGAAGAAAAAAAGTAAGAGAGACGCAAAGAGTTTACGCGTTTGGGCGGCAAATGCCAAAAAAAAAAAAAAAGAACTCAGCAGACGGCCGTCCATCCGCGGCGATGGGGCAAGTAGCAAAAGGAGAGGCGAAAACTCGCACCAGGCCACAGTGTCGATCACCTCTGACCCCCGTTTCCTCCTCCTTTTCGGCGCTCACCGATACGGTTTTCAGTTGAGCAATACCCGTGAGCACAGTGTCAGCTCCATCAGTTCGCCTTTCTTCTCACGAATGTGGTGCTGCAGCAGGAGGTTTGCCTCGCGTATAAGGTGGACGGCGGAGCGGAGTGTGAAGAACTTCACTGATTTGTTTTCGGCCGGGTTGGCGCTCTTCACACGCTGAAGCAACTCCTCCGGGTTACTCGCCGCAACCGCCGCGGGGTCTCTGAAGCCCGCCGTCCACAACGCTCGCGCCCGTGCCGGCTGCAATCCGTGTATCTCCATCAGCGGCACAATATCCGGTTTCACCCCAAAACCTAGCCTCTTCACGTAGGACGACAGCACGGCCTCAAGTGAAAACCACTCCATAGCCCGGCAGAAGCTGGTGATGGAGCTACTAAACATGGAGGCACTACGCATGAGGCCCTGCAGTTGCCCCCGGTTACGCTGGTAACGCTCTTCCACGACAGACATTGGTACCTCACTGAGGAGGTCAGCAAGCATCAAAGCGACAAAAAAGCGGCGGGTGGCAAACGTCCTGCTGCCGCCGCTTCCGTACGGGTCCCCCAGCCCCATGGCTCGCTGGTGCACGAAGTACTCATCGACGCCCACCATGTGTGCGATACGCTGACGGTTTTCGCCCATCTGTGAGAGCACGGTGCGGTACGCCGACCAGTTACAGTCACCAATCTCCCGCAGCGGCGTTAAAAAGTAGCACAGATGGAGATCATCCGCCAAAATCAGGCCTGTACGCTGCAGATTTTCCAGTTCCTCGCGGACCAGCAAGGCCTCCTCCACGCTGAAGCACGACCGCACAGAGCAGGCACCAAACGGTGTCGTAGACAACGTGACCTGCTCCTCTGCACTCACAACAGGTTGCTGTGCGGCGGCCGCAGCATCACCCCCAACGGGTTCCGGTTGCAACGGCACACGCTGCACCAAACCGCTCCGAATCAGATGGTCTATGGACGACTGTAGAATCCCAGCCAACGCCACCGGCAAGGGCTTTGAGGCAACATCGTAAGCCGGGTCGAAGGGTCCAGTTGCATGGTGGCACAAGAGGTTTTCCATCCACGCCTGGGTGTCAGCAGGCAATCGTATGACACCCACCGAAATACATTCTAGCAAAGCTCTTTCAAACAGACTTGCCTGAAGCAGCATTTGGCTCGCGCACATCTCCACTTCCTGCCGCATCAACTCCCGCCCCCGCTGACAGTCTCTACGGGAGAGGAGGAGAAATGATTCACCAAACTCATCCAGGCCGGCACGACCGGCACGCCCACACATCTGTAAATAACGGGATTTTGTCAAAAAGTCACGTCCCACGTAGGGAGTCTTGAAGATAACGCGTCGTGCCGGCAAATTAACTCCAGCTGCCAGCGTAGACGTGCAACAAAGAATATTGATGTGTCGCTGGCGATACGCCCGCTCAATTAACTCACGCTCCTCCCCAAGTAAGCCACCATGGTGAAACGCAACACCGTGAGGAAGAAGCTGGCCAAGCAGGCTTGCATCATTTCCAAAGGAGCTAAGTTCCGTTTGAAGAGCCCCAAGAGTCGTGTCACTCGCACTATGAAATCCATTCTTCATGCCTTTGCGGTATTGGGCAATGAGGCGTGCCGTGTCAACGCATTGCTGACGGCTCGCGCAAAATATCAACACCGACCCCGCTTGTATCTCTGTCGCTAACAACAGTAACTGCTCCCTCTCCGTCGCGTACCCAGCTGCCACCAGATTGCGCTCATTCCGCTCCCCATCCTCCATCACCATACCATCCACGACGGCATACTGCCTCAGTGGGATTGGGCGGTACTGTCCCAAGTAACAGGCTGCACGTAACCACGTCGCAATGCTTGGCAGGTTTGGAATGGTGGCACTCATACCAATCAGCTGCATGGCATGCGGCAAGCAAAGCAGTTTAGACAAAAACAGTTCCAGTGTCGCACCACGATGCGACTCCCCAAGCATGTGCAGCTCATCCACGACCACGGTTCCCAACTCCTGCGTCAAGCCCTCCTCCAGCATATGATTCAGCAGCGAGTTTGCCTTCTCAATGGTGCAAACAAACACGGTGGTGCGCTTTGGCAGAGGCAGCCTGCCTTGTGTGCCGTAGTGACCCTCGACAGAAAACCCCAACGCGTCACCAAAGGGGCGCAGTCCTTCCGCCTTCTCCTCCGCCAATGAAACAAAGGGAAGGACAAAGAAGCACGACTTGCGTCGATTAAGCAGGCATCGAAGCAGCAAAATCTCCGCCACCAGGGTCTTGCCTCCACTCGTCGGTAAACTGTACACCAAACTACCACCGCTACGCACGTCGTCCCGCATCAGGACTTCGTGCTGCCACGGATACAGCTGCTTGATACCGCGTCGTTTCGTAAAAAAGTGTTGTGCACTCTGAGGAAGATCGTAAAAGGCACCGCCACCCCCGCTCTCCTTCGTCTGTACCGAGCAGTCTGTGGTGGTTGGTGGAGAAACCACCGCCATCCCATGGCTGCCACCGTCAAGCAGCGCAACACCTGCAAGGTCCAGATGCATGTTTGCCTCCTCGTCGGCCGCCTCGCCGCCTTCCAAAGTAGCCTGAGACGAAATAAACGGTGGTGTGCTGGCACCCCCCGATTGTTTGATGGGTGTAAATGGAAGATCCGTGGACAGTCGCTTGTCTTCTTCCACCTCCCGTTGGAGTTCCTCCTCGTTTTCAAACGGCGCCGTGTCCATCGCTGCCGCATTGGCCGGCTGTTCGTGTGATTGAGAAACCGTCATGGTTTGTGGAAACGAAGGCGCTAACGGCTGTGCGGCCGCCACTGGAGGGGGGTGCTGCAGCCACGATTCAACGCGTGCACGTTTATGTACAGCCGCCTTCTCCAGTGCAGCAGAGCGGCCGCCCTCCGCCATCTCCGTGTGGGGAGCCTCTGCGTCCAGCAAATCTTGCGTCTGTGCCACCCTTCGCGGCGCGTGGAACCCCCCACGACACACAAACGTCCTCCGCATTGCTAGAAAGTTGGTGCCTTTGCGAGGTCCGCCACGTGCCCCTGTTTACTTCCCTCTCTGTGTGTGTGCGTCTCTGTCTCACTCACTTTCTCACACTCTCTACTCACAGCAGCATGAGATATGAAGGGCAGGGATGGGCGGTGGCAAACACCACGCGCTCGTCTCCCCGCTACAGTCAACTCCCGCCCCGTTCGCTGCAGGAAAAACGCCCAATAATGAACCACCCCCACCCCCCTCCCTCACACACACAGACACAGACACAGACAGGCAAATACAGGTGAGAAGAGCATGAAGGAACAGAAAGCTGCAAAAAAAAAAAAAATCGTCAAGCAAGCAGCAACAGAAAGCAAGGCAAAGTAGGAGCTACACCCCCCACACACACACGCAACCGCACAGAAGCACGGGGCGGGCATGCTTTTTAACATAAACCCCGCCCATTGACAATCATAGTAAGTAACTATGTAGGCAAATTAAAATACGCGTTCACAGTCAGCATACAAATCCCTACTGCCCAAATCTAATTAAGGAAAAGCAAAGAAAAAAAATAATAATTATTATTATTATTATGATAATAATTGGGCCTCCAGAAAAAAGAATGAGAGCATAGCAAGATACGGGGAAAACACACACACACACACACAAAACAAAACAAAAACAAAAATGTTCATTCAGTACGGCCAGGTGGAGGTCATCCATGTGCAGCCCTGCTGCAAACAAGGCAAATAAAAGATCTTGTTAGCAGAAAACACATAGGTGGCTCTCTCCCGCATCTGCGACTCAAAAGCTAATTGAAAGGGAAAAGTCCATAGCCACCGAGATAAACAAATATCACATCAAATACCAGATTCATGAGTCCACGTATTCCCTACCTTTTTTTTTTTTATGTCACTCTCTCTTTTTATTTTTCTTTTCTTCCTGCCGTTCCTCTTCTCCCTGGGGATGTTTGCCGTGCGCCAGAGTTTCACTGCAGCTAGGCGGTCTCTTCCGCCCGATCCCCCGCGAGTTGCCGGCAGACATTTCATGCGTGTCACCATGCAGTTCGATCTTCTTCTCTGTGACTTTGCTCGCAGCGGAAGGGAGTCCAACTTCCCACAATTTTTCGTCTGTCACCTCCTCTGCAATTGCCAATGCAACACTTGTAATCTGCGCCGCACTGGGCAGGTCCTTTGGCAGGCAGTGTGTACACATAAAGGAGACAAAAGGTGCGGCACTCCGCTTGTCGCTGTACACAAAGCGCTCCCCGTTACCATTGTACGCAGCCATCGTCGGTATGACCTGCTGATCTGGCGTCTCGGGCCAGTCTTCCACGGGAAAATCGTTATCGTCAACGTTACAGGCCAAATAGCTGAAGGGCCGTACCACACCGCAGGACTCTGACGCCTTCCAGACGATGCCCACAATATGGTCGATCATCATGAGAACGGCGGGGCAAATCGCACAACGGGCGCTCCAGAAGACGCAAATTGCGCCGCCTGGCTCCTTCCGCTTTAGACGCTGAAGCGTGCTCGTCACGGCACAGAGTCCGTGATTAAGCGTGACGTTGTGTGACGACACGAACTTGTCACCCTCAGGCGGTGCCGCGCCTTGAAGGGCCTTTGCAATACCACCTTCCGCCACACCACGAAGAAACAACTCGATCGCTGCCGTCAGCTTCTCGGTGTCCGGCACGCCACGGTCGAGATCTAAGACAAAGGAGCGGTCGTCGTACATTTCAAGCACAACCAGAATTGGGATTCGCCCGTAAACAGCGATGCACTTCTGCAGCTTTGCAATATTAGCTTCCGTGGTGAAGCAGACGCGCGGCGCGCGTTGCAGTGAGAGCAATACGTCATTTGTCTTTGTGTCTGTTCCGTACTTCACTGCCACGTCGTTTGCGTCGCCCAACTTTGCGCACACCTCGTCAACGTAGCGGCACACGGCGGCCGCCATCGATGGAGACGCCACCAGGCCAAGACAGCGCTTGTTGTTCAGTTCCTCACATACGTCTTGCGCAAACTCCGGCCAGACGCCGTCGTTGTGTTCATTGCTGTTGCAGCGCGGTATTGTGGCAGTTGCCATTAGGCCCCAAATGCGCTTATCTTTTCTTCTCGTTTCAGTTTTTCTTATTTTCCCGTTTTGCTACTTATCCCCTGTTGTTGTCTTTTCGTTTCTTTTTTTGCCTTTTGGTGCTGCGTTTTCTTTTTGGTCTGCGGGCCTTCGACGCTGACGTCTGTGCGGGCAGGAAGCGGTAGACGAGCAAAAGAGGGAAAGCCGACAGCAACAAAGTCAAGCAACAAAAACAAAAAAGTGGGTGGTGGAGGGGGTAGTCCCACACACGCAAAGCAGCGGGGCAGAAGCAGCAGATGAAAATAAAAACAAAAAACAACAACAACAACAAAATGAAAAGAGTGTCCACGTATTATTATTTTCTTTTTCTTTTTTCGTTTCTGTTTGGTTTTTGGGTATCGCTTCGCCGCCTCGTAGAGTCAAAAAAAAAAAAACTGAGACAAAATAACAAAAAAGCAGTAGGCAGAAGCTGCGCGTCACAACGGCTCTCGCACCACCGGCTCCTGCCGATGCAGCAGTTCCATCTTAAAGATTTCATACAGAGGAAAATACATCGCCATGTTTGCCGAGACCCACACCACGCGGGTACATCCTCCGCGGAAAAAGAAAGCGACACCACCACGACGATACGTGTCCCGCACCACACTGCGTACTGTTGTGGATGGATTAGCCGCAGAAGCCACCACCACACGGGTCCGAATTGTGTCCAGTGGAACGGTTATCGTAGAGGCTAGAAGACCACTAAAGCCGCCTGTAAGAAAGGTACGCAAAAAACTATGAACATACCACTGGAGACGCGAGCTCCCGTCAGGCTCCTCGTGGAGCTGATGCCGCTGTCGCAAACTTTGCCCCCATGGACGCAAGCTCTCATAGCAAATCCACTGAATAACACTATAAGGAACGTCATGCAGTAGTGTTTGCGCCTTTACCAGCCGTGTGCAGGCAAAAAAGCCGTGGTGGATTATCTGCCGTATTGCAGCCCCGCTGTTCGGCACAGCGGTGGCTTGAATGCGCATCTTCGCCGTCTCCATTGGGACACGAACGATACAGCTAGACAGTTCGGCAGCGCTCGCGGCAAGAAAAGTATGCACAAAAAACACATAACATGTGTCGTTACCGACACCTGCAGGGTTCAATGTGTCTCGCACTGCATTGTACGTGGTCATGTAGATGGCCTGGTAGGGCACGTAGCAAACCAGCTTGACAGGCAAACCGCCGTAGACGTACCTTGGCCCCCACTTGCCGGCGTACTCGCGCCAGACAAACAGCAAGCTCTTGGAGCTCGAGCACTGCAGACGACATTTCAGTGTGTCTAGGGGGTGAAGAAAGGACTTCGTAAACACCGTGGCCGCCGCCGAGGCCAGTGCCACAGAGGACGTGTGCAGGCTGTGTGACGATAAAGATGGTTGTTGTGCCTCCCGCTCTTGCCTCCCCTCACCCATGCGTAGACGCCAAGTAGCCCACAAAAACCTCCTACAACACCTACACACACACACACACATGTGACAAGAAAGAGCAGAAGCGACGAAGCGGGTTTCAAGAGGGCACCCCGACAGCACAGACAGTAAAGAGAAGCAAAGCAAACACACATACACACACACAGAGAGAGAGAGACACACAAAGGAAGAAAATGGAAACCAAAAGTCACGCCCGCACACCATGCGTCCCAGCTCTGGCGAAGACAAATACTCTTTGACGCTACACATTTGTCTCTTTCATACGCTTCCGCATCTTGTCCAGCTCTTCCATGCGCCGCACACTGTCCTGCGTGATGCGCTGAAAACGAGAACCACCACCAAACTGTGACGCCATCATGGCAGCAAACTGCCGAAATGTCATTTGTGAGAAGGCAGTTGCGGGGTCCATGTCTTCTTTGGGCAGCGCGGGCTCCTTCAACTCACCGCCCTCATCAAAGTCCTCGGAACGGTACACACGCACCCGGCTGCCACGCACCTCCCGCATCTTTGCCTCCTTCTGCGCACGTTCGTTCTCGTCGTTGAGCATCCGCAGCATCTCGGCCTCCTCTAGACGACGGTACTCCTCAACCTCTGAGTTCAGTTGGACTTGCACAGGATCTGTGTGGCCGAAGCTGCCTTTCTTCTGATCGATCTCCATTGCACTGGGGGTGTTGCAATAACGGGTAGAATAATCGGGGGCCGGCTCAGGGTTGGTCGCCTGGGTGAAGGCCACATTGAGGTACGCCACCGCATTAGCGCCAATGTTCTCCACATCCCTGCGGGTAATAATCTTGCGGAAGAAGGCAACACACAGCACCACAGCGCACCCGGTGACCATTGCCACACCAAACATAAAAATAAACTTCTGTCGGTGATCATGACGTCGTAGCTCAGTTTCGTGGTCAATCGCGTGTCTGGCATTGTCGACGTATTGTCGGTAATACTGCCGGGATTTCTTACGATGCAGTGAGGAGTCAATGTACTCTAGAAGCACCTCCGCTGCGATAACTGTCTCTTGCTGTAGTGCATTCGTGCGCTCGCCGTAAACCTTCGCCCACCGCTCCTCAAGCTGCGTAGAGGTCAGTGTCGGTAACTCGGACTCCTTAATGCCCAGCACCTTCGCGGCGGCGGTGGCGTCCATCCACTTCTCTACTTCGTCAACGGTGAGGTGGTCATCTGGAGTCGTGTTACGCTTGCGCTCCAGCGGCCCAGTGGCCTTCTGAAAGGCATAGTGAGCATAAACAGGATCCCACGGCTGATTCGACGCCGTCGGCCCCTTCGGCAGGTCCTTTGATGTGTACTTGCCCGGCTTGTACATGTCTGCCAGCCTAAAGAAGTTACGCAGCTTGTCCGGCTTCTTGGGCGGGGACTTGAACGCCACCTGGCGCCTCGGTCCTTGCGTGGGCGACGACAACGACAATGACGGCTGAAACGCCGCAGTGCAAAGGGCGCCGCACCCCACAGTTCGCATGCGGTGCATTCTTTCCACGCTGCTTCTCCTCCTCCCCTTCTCTCCCAACGCACACGTGCTGACGTATCCACTATGCGCCACGGTTGAGGTCAGCAAGGAAATAAAACAAAACAAACAAACAAAAAAAAAAGATAATGCCGGAGGAGAGACGCCAGTAGAAAGAAAAACAAATGAAGAAGAAGTGCAGTGTTTCTTTTATTCCCCTGTTTTTTTTTGTTACAATTTTAATTTCGTGCATGGCTGAGTAGTAGACAAAAAAAAAATGTTCCAGACCCGCCGTTGCGGACAATCACACACACACACACGCACCCCGCTCGGCCTTTGTGTTCAATTTTTACCCCTTATCCTCCTCCTTTGCCGGGAGATGGTGTGCGTGGTACCGACGTGATGCCCCCCCTCGAGGTGGTGGTGGCCACCTTCCGCCCCGCACCGGACGGACAGACATGTTTACTTCCCAAAAATAAGGTCCTTCAGTTTTGATAAAAAGCCGGTGTTATCATTGTCGTCGTCCTGCACCACCTGCTCCTCCGTGATGGCGTTCGTGCCATTCACCTCGAGACGCTTCACCATGTAGGTGTCCTCCAGGTGGTACCCCAGTTTCCCGTAGTACCGTCGTACACCGACACCTGCAATCACCGCCATACTGCCAAATCCGTGCGCCGCGGCAATGCGCTCTGCCTCCCTCATCAATTGCGTGCCCACGCCCATGTGCTGCGCCTCGTTCCCGGAATTAGGCCGGGACACTGCCACCAGCCGACCGTACGTGTGCAACTCGCGAATGAGCGCACAGTCCTCCAGCGCCTTGAACAGGGAATTATCTGCCCCGCTGTTGTCACGCAGCCGCAGCCGCAGATGCCCATACAGCGTCGTCCGCTCCGGATTTTCCACCGAGATGTAAAACTCCGTCCCCTCGCTTGCGCAAAATTCATCCACGAAAAGTTTTGTGTGCTCGCGATCGACAGGCCTCCCTTTGCATTCACGTTCACGGATATCCTTGCAGCAAATTCCCTTTTCCTTCATCTCCGCCTCAATCACCTGCCGCAGATTGCACCGCCGCTCTCCCCCCATGATGTACGTTGTGGGGATGTCACGAACAATACGATTTAGACGAATGCGGTACGGGCACTGCTCCATGATGTACACAAGGAGTTTCACCATCCAGGCACCGCCGTCCATCTCTGCATAGGGCTTGTAGAGACCTTTACGGTACCACTCCTCAATCTTGGTATACGGCACTGTCGCCGTGGGGTAGACCTTCCACTGATCCACTTGAAAGCTCTTGTTGTCAGAAGAGAAAAGGTACTCAAACATCTCACGGTCCTTGGCGTAGCTGCTTCCTGGCAGATCTGGCATCCAATGGGCATCCACCTTAAACCCTGCGTCGAGCAGCCGCTTGATCGCCACAATGGTTTTGGCAGTCGGGCAGTCACGGTTAACAACTTTGAGAATGTCATCGTCAAGGTGCTGCACCCCAAGCTGTACGCGGGTGACGCCAAGCAAACGGAAGCGCCGCAGCTCGGACGTGTTGATGTAATCCGGGCGCGTCTCAACCGTCACACCAATGACGCGGCATCGGGCCTCCTCGTTCAGTGTGATTTCCTCCTGTAGGCTCTGCATAGGCCGCAGTGGTGCAGCGTCGTAGTATGTGTTGGCAGCGTAAAAAGAGCCAGCCATAAACTCCTCAGCGTACTTCTTCGGGTAGAAGGAAAATGTCCCGCCAAGAATAATAAGTTCAATCTTGTCCACCACGTGACCGTTGTTTTCCAGCGCGCTCGCCCGATCATAGAACTGCGAGATAGGGTCCCAGCCATTGCGGTACCCACGCAGTACGCCTGGCTCCTTCAGCAAGTACGAGCGTGCGATGCCTGGTTGGTTAGGACAGTAGTGGCAATCCTTTGGGCATGAAAACTGTCCCGGTCCCATAAAGACTGTCACCACAAGCACACCACTATGCGACTTGCCGCGCTTACGCACCAGAAGCTCCTCCATCACCGGTGACTCCTGCAATTCACCGGCCCGCACTAACTGCCGATACGCCGCAGTCAGCTCCGACTTCCGCGCGGTGTCTTTAAAACCAAAAAGACGGGACGCCTTAACGCGCAGGTGTTCCAGCTGGTTCCTGTTTTTGGCAGCCGCCACCTTCTGCGCCAGTACCCGCACGGACTCCAACAGCGCACGGCGACGCTCCTCCGGCAGGTCGCCAAAGTCCTCGTGCCCCTGAACCAAATCCTCAACATCCGCTGCCTCATCCGGGGCCTCGTAAGGTCCTAACTGATGATGAAACGTTGCCCCCATGGACCGTCCAGCAAATCGTGCCTCCTTCAGCGATTGGTGCAGGTTGGGTTGCGGTGCCACCTCCTGAGGCTGTTCTTTCTTCTGCAGTGTTTCTTCGTTACTGCCCTCCATCGTAGTTCCCTGCTCTCTAGGACGTTTAGATGCCATGTTCCTCGATACACTACTTCTTTTTTTAGCTTGTGTTTGTTGTTGTTACTGCTCGCCCTTCCCCGCCCCACAACACCCTTGTCTGTGCCACCGACAAACCTAAGCACGCCGTCCAACGGGGTCTAATGATAAAAGGCAAGAACAAAAGAAATAGAAGCGGGATTCACAAAGCCCGATGATGAGCCAATAGGTAGAAACACAACACGCAGCTATATATATTTATATAATATTTATATAATATTCTTGTGATTAATAGATAGATGTGTGTTTCTTTCCAGCACCACACACACAAAGATAATGGCATGAAGCAAGGCGGAAGCCAATCACCCACCGATTCTTCCCTGCATGTCTACAGCTCCCTCAAGTGTGTTTTTGTCAATGCGTGTCCCACGCTTCGTCCAGAGTGGGGCTGCAAACTCGTACTGTTCCTCAAGTAGACGCGGCTCAGCGTCAAGTAAATCCCGTGACTTACGCTTTCTTACGAGTTTCGTCATGTAAAGCTGCATACGACCTGGTGGCTCACTGCTCACGATGTGGCGGAACAGCTCTCGCTCCCCTGCGATAAGAGCGGCCTTTGCACATCCCATTCGAACAGCCGCGGAAGCCTCCGGAAGAAGTCGCTGAATCGTTGCGGCAATGTCCGGGTCACCGAGATGCGCCAAATACTGTACATGCATTCCCAGACGCTCTGCAACGGTGTACTCTGGGTTAGGAATCTCCCGCGTCGCCGGGTAGAGCTTGGCTGGCTCAGGCACCTGCGCCGCCGCCTCTAGCTCGGACAGGCGCCGCCGCATTCCACGCACACCCAGAAAGTTGGGCAGCTGATTTGCCCACTGCATAATGTACAGCAGCGCCATCACCGCGTCAACAGGGATATCGGGGGCGAACTCCGTCCCAAAGAGACGGTTGAAGCGACGCACCAACTGGCCCCCACCGCACATGCGTTCGTTATCGGGCCACACCACACGAACGAATACGGGGATGTGCATCTTGGGGACCACCTGAGAGTCTTTCCACATAAACTGAAACGCCTCAGGGTCTTGTGGAGGCAGCTTCACCTCCGCCGACAGCTGCACCTGCACAAACAAGAGCGCCTTGGAAAAGACGCAGCGGTAGAGCGACGTCGCCACCCCAGGGCCATCAATCGTGGGGGTCATGTGCTCGGCGTGGGGGTCCACCACCGTCCGCAGGTGTGGAATCGCAAACAGAAAGGGGCAGAGATCGACGTGTTCCATCAGCCGTTCAGGGTCGTCATGCTCGCCGAGAAAAAACTCCTGTTGATTGAGGAACTCTCTAATAGGGGCAAAGGCAAACTGCTCATTGCGCGCGTCGTACGACATATAGCGAAGAATATCCCCCTCACTTGAGGGCATGCGTTGAAGCTCCAACATACGCTGGGCGGTTCGAAAGCGTTCCTCAAAGCCCTCATGGTGCCAGTCTCGATGAAGTGTGGCGATGGAGGCAAACTCTGCCAAGACGCGACGAACGGCGGCAGCCGTCCCCTTCACAGGGAGCCACATTGCAGGTGGGAAATCGTCACTCAACTGAATGTAAACCACCGGTGCCGCTTGTGATGGATCCAGGTAAAGCTTGGCGGGCCGCGTTCCCACAGAGGTTGGAATCTGTACACGCTCAGGGAAGGGATATGTGCTGCAGAAGTGCACGTATTCTTTGCGTGTGTTTCCCAGGCACAACAGCGTCTTCTGTTCATGCGTATATGTGGCGGTACTGGGAAACACGTAAGGACCAACACGGTATTCCACCTCGCTCAGTAAATCAAACGGTAGCCAGAGGTACGGATCGACACCTTCCTCCTCCTCGCCGTTGTCACCGGTGTCGTTATTGTTGCTATTACCCTTTCCCGCCTTTTGGTCCGCACTCCAGGCGTCCGGAGCAGGGTTGTGGTACCGAGAAGCCACATCGCTGGCCAAGGCCGTGGCATCCATCTCATCCTCGCTGTGGCGCCGGTAATACAAGTCCTCGCAAAGCCTATAAAACCACCCCGGGGGGTCGTTCCCTTTGGTGGCAGCAAAGACCGTCCATAGCTTTCCCGCACGGTGCGCGCGCTCCACAGGCCCGTCCGCCTCCGCCCCATGCTCGGATTCCTTAGGTGCGGGGTGGACGTTCGGGGATCGCGGATCATACCGCGCCGGCGGCTCCACAACGTCCATCGTGGAGTACGTGCGGGCGGCGTCAGGAAGAGCCACCGTCACCGGAGGGTCCAGCAGAGACAAAAGAAACGGTGAGTTCCACTCAGCAGCGTCCGTCGCCAGAGGCGCGGGACCCAGCATGTGACTCTCACCAGTCACATACCTCCTCGCAAGAAGTTGGTGAGAGCGACGCAGCGATGGGGCCGTCCTTAGCGCCACGAGCCGCATTCGACACTTTGCTGCCCCCAGCAGAGACGTCGCAGTAGCACAACACACGCCGAAAGAAAAGAAATACAAATAGTAGATCAAAGCGGAAGAAGAAAAAAACCATCGGTGCATGAGAAATATGCAACATACAGATATATATATATATATATATATATATATACGACGATAGTGTAGAAAAGGAAAAAAAGGGG